GTCAGCAGTTAAGAACATCGGCTGTTCTTGCAGAATACCCAGGTTCGAATCCCAGCACCCACATGGCAACTAACAACTGTCTGTAACTCCAGTTCCAGGGGATCTGATACCCTCTTCTGTCCTCTGAGGGCATTGCATGACACGTGTGCCCTTACATACATGCAGGCAATACACACATACACATAAAAAATAAAAATAAAAAATTTAATAAAAAATAATAATAAAAAACCTTAGCACAGTGCCCAGAGGGGACATAGTATACATATACTATGAACATAGTATGCATAGTATCCTCTGTGGGCCCCTGCATGCACATAGTACACACATGCACATATAAATAAATACATTTTTTTTTATTTATGTGTATGAGTGTATTACCTTCACGTGTGTAAGTGCACCTGTGTCATCCAATGTCCAGGGAGGTCAGAAGAAGGCATCAGATCTTCTGGAACTGGAGTTACAGACGATTGTTAGCTGCCATGTGGGTGATGGGAATTGAACCTGGGTCCTCTGTAATAGCAGTCAGTGTTCTTAAACCACCGAGCCACCTCTCCAGCCCCCATAAATAAATAAACATTTTTAAATGCCAAATTCAGATTGTCATTAGGGGCAAGTTGCTTAACGCTGTGGGTCTCAGTTGTTCATGCATCAAAAGGGCTCATAATAGCTTTAGCCCATTGGAGTGGTCACGAGGAATCAGCAAGCTACTGTATGTTAAGTTTTTTTCTTTTTTTTTCATAAGCACGTCCTATTATTTTTAAAGTTCTGAAGGCTGTTCAAGGCCAGCTTGAGATGATGGGGTCCCCAGCCCCCCACTGGCTATAGCTCCAGGCACTGCCTCAGCTGCCATTTGGCTATTATTAGGCCCAGAGTCCTCATCTCAAATCCAGATGGGAAGAAGGGCGGGTAAGGCCTGGCCTGGCAGGCGGATGGCTGGGAACACAGCTGGGAGGCTGGATTTGGGTTTGGGCCCCACCCTGCCTACAGCTGGTCCAGCAGCCACGTCTACACTTGGCTCTGAGGTTGGTACTGAGCAGTCCCTCCCACTGTGGCCGCCTCCTCTGGGAAGGTTCAGAGCCTTTCTGCAGCCTCAGCACTTTTCTACCAGCCCCAGAAAGGCCAGGCCTGAACGGAGGCTCTGAGTCGCATACTGCATCTGGAGCCTGCAAAGGGGCCATCGACCTTGCCAAAGAGTAGATGCTCTTTGTGCATCTACTGTCCTGGATCTGCTGAGGAACAAGGGTTCACACATCTGGGTTCAAAGGCCACCCCTTCTATCAACATGCTGTCAGTTTGGACAAGGATCTTTCATGGAACTTCAGTTGTCATATATCTGTAAAATGAACATATCTCAGCACTACTTGACAGGACTGTGTCTGGACTTAACCAAGTGAAAGATATATAGTGGGTGCTCAATATGTGTCAGTTATTAAGGTTATTTCATGTTTGGGTGTGTCAGATCCTGAGAAAGAAGGGATTTGGAAGACTGGGAGTCTGGGGTGCACAGGAGACTATGTAGAATCCGAAGCCTGTCCCTTGCCCTCTCTGTAACTCAAGTTCCTGTCTGGACCAAGAAGTGAGCATCTAGGACTTTGTAATGGCAAGATCCAACTCCTGTATTCCTAAGTAGTGAGAGAATTAGTTTAAAAATCTAACACAGTACCATATGGACTGAGCTCCCAAATGGTGACTGATAGGGTACAGTGATTATGAACAAGCGTCTGAATTCCAGTTGTATATGAGATGCTGGATGGCTTAACCTCACCAGGTCTGTCTCATAACTATAATGGTGACACTTCACAGGACTCAAGCTTTGAAGATACTTATGATAAAACTGCCACATGTATATTGGGAACCAGAGTCCAAACCACCAGGGACACCACCATGAAGCAGACCCTCCTTCTCCCAGCACCAAACAACCCTCAGAATTCACAAGGGGTCCAGGCTGGCCCTCTCTTGTCTATGAAGCTGTTCTCTTGAGGTTCACAGCTGCTCAGTGGGCATTTCATGGTCCCTTCTCTCCTCCAAGGTTGGAAGTTTGTCAGGCACAGTTGCCCAGAGACATGGCAACTAGATGATGTCATGGACATGATGGTCTTGCCAAACTGGTTTGAGAAACAGGTCCTCAATGTTGCTCTTCAGATTGCTGGCTGTGACCTTGGGGGCCTCTATCTCTGCCATGAAGAGGAAGGTGGTAGATGACCCCAGCAAGGACCAGCTCTTCTCTCAGACCCTTGTTCCAGCCTCATTTGCCTGACTGTCCCCTCCTGGCTCTCTGTTCCCTGCTGCAGCTGCTTTTCCTCCAGCTTCAAGGTATACCAATCCAAGCTTTGCTCCCTGAGGCTTTTAGAATCCAGATACCTTCTCTCCTGCCTCCACTGTGTGGAGAGACACCCACCCACCTCTCACTCCTCCATTCTTCCTGTTGTTCCGTAGCTTCCTTATTCACTGCACACACCAAGAGCCAGGCATCAGCTGGCCTTAGAGCCACTTGTGGGCACACTGCAAGGTGATAGTCTTCCTGAAAGTGTTGGAATTTTATGTTGTCCAGGCTGAGCAAGGGGAACTTAAGGAACTCACAGAGCAATATGTCCAATGTGTATATGAGGAAACTGAGGTTTTGAGGAGATCAAGGACTTGCATAGGGCAGAGCCAGAGCTAAGAAACATCACTTTTCTTGTCACTTGACCCAGGTGTGATTCTCTGAGGACTCTCACTGAGGAGGGGAAGCCAGGGTTACAGGCTGCCAGCTTGGTAAAATAATCATTTTTGGACTTGGGCTCTAGATCAAAATATTACTCTTGGCCCTTGAGTTGTTCCAGCATCTCCCTGCACTGTCAGCCCAGGACTGGATGTGAAAGAATCCAGACCCTTCCTGTTTTAGCCCTTAGCCTATAGCTAGTCAGTCCTGCCCTTTCGTTTCACAACTGGAAGCCTAGACTTCATAAGTGCCTTCAAAATTCATTCGCCTTCCACACTCGGCAATCAAGGCTCTTCACAGATAATACCACCCCCATTTTTTATTCTACCCATTGCCCCTTCCTCCTTTTCCCATTCATAAGCTTCCCAGCTTTTGCTCCATACAGTTTGTCTACCAAAAAACATTCTTCCATGCCTGCCCCTCTGTCCTCTACGGGATGAATTTCTCCATATTCATGTTCAATGACCATTTTAACACATCACTGCCTCTGAAAAGTCCTCCAAGATTTCTCCTATCTTAGAAGCAACAAGGTGAGGGGAAAATGCTTTGGCATTGGGCAAAATGTCACTGTGTTTGGCCATTACCTGCCCAGGTTGTCTGCATCTCCCTGAATTTCAACTTTCTCTTCTGTAAAATCAGGCTATCTTGCACAGTGGTCAGATGACAGGCAAATTACTGGGGCCATACTTACAGGATGTTTACTCTCTCTTGGCCTGTGGCTATAAAGTTCCCCAGAACCTCCAGAGGGTTGCCCTTTGATCTCCACCAGCCCCAGACCACCCCCATCCCCTCACCTACCCTCCATCCCTCCCCTGGCATCTTGTCAAATAGGCCATTCATTGACTCCAGCACTATCAGACCAAGCTAGCACTGGAGTAAACAGCTGCCAGTCAACCAGACCCTGAGACTCGCTAGGGGGTGTGGGTGTGTTCTGCGGCAATGGGACAGTCCCAAGGCATGCACAAGGTTTTCAGTACTACAGACTTAGCTTTGGGGCCCGTCTCCTACTGGAAAATAAGGCGGTATCTAGGCCAGGTAGAGAGGACTTTGAACTATATCCTCTAAACTGGGCTTTGTTTGCCTCTCCTTGTGTGGTCACTTGTGTGACCAGTAGTGGCTTCTTTCTCTAGGTCTTGTAGGGGGAGGGCACGACACGAGGACACACGGGACACGACCACCTCTTAGGGGAGGAAGCAAAGTGACACTTAGAAAGGAGTCTCAGCATGGATACACAGCCTTTCTTTAGATGTGCATTGGGAGGTCACAGAGAATCTGAACTGGAGCTCTTCTGAGACAACCCCACATTACAGTGTTTTAGATGCACAGATTTGAAGCGAGACTAGAAGGTGGTATGAATCGCAGTTCCACTACCTACTGCCTTTTGTCATCTGTACAATGGGACAATAACTCAGGTCTCCCTAAGCCCTCACAGGGATTATAGTCTGGCACATGGGCACATACAAAATATGTAAATTGATACTTTCGTAATTTTTTATTTGACAGGCAGGACCCCAGACCTCATCCTCCCAGGTTCCACGCCACTTTTGCCTCTATGGAGACCGGGAGGGCGGCTCCACAGCCTCCAGCACCAGACATGAAGTGGCTTTCCCCGCTGGGTCTAAACTCTTGGGTCTCCTGATTGCCTTCTAGTTTGATCTTGGAAAAGTTGGCTCTTTGGAGACCCTCACTTTTTCCCATTTGTTGAGAGTTGTGGAGTCCATGTTCCGTGTTCAGAACTTCGGCAATCCCGGAGACAGACCTTGAAGGGTTTGGGAGAGAGTATGCTGTGTGGGCTAGGGAAGATGTGCTGCGTGTGTGACAGATGGTCCTAGACGACTCGACACAGAGTCAGGGGGCTACTGGTTATGCAGTCCTTGGCCCGAGGTGCACAGACCAGCTGTCCCGAAAGAGATCTGCGGGCGTTGGCGGAGTAAGCCAGCAGTACTGACGCCAGGAGTGGGTGGAGTCTGCGGAAAGGATGTCGTCTGTGAACAAAGAGGAGGGCGGGGAGGGGCTGTCCTGAAGGACCTAGGCTATATGTCCTGGCTCGAGGCGCCTTTCTCAACTTTGGCACTGAGCCTGCACCCAACCTGCTGACGCCCATCCGAGGATACCAAGGACACCGCGGCAGCAGCTCCGGAGACTACAATACCCAACATCCCTGGACACTGGGGGCGGGGCTTTCTCGAGGGCGTAGCCTCCAAATTGAATTTCCCCAATAGAACCTGAACGGGGGCGGGACCCAGCCGAGAATTGGCTAGGACGGCGGGGGGGGCGGGGCCAGCCGGGGTGCTGGCGCGGCTGGACAGGCTTCTGTAGCAGAGTCCTGGGAACGGTTGTTGAGCCGGCCTGGGATTCCAGGTCGCGCGCCTTCCCGCCCCACCATCTCCACGGAGTCTGCTGGGTCCCAAGCGAGCTAACCCGAACCCGCACCGGACAGGCGAGCTGGACTGAGAGGTGGGTGCGTGGATCTCGGGGTGACGCTAGGAGCCCGAACGAGTCCCGGGGGTGGAACCTGGATATCTGGACAGGGTTCTGTAACTCCCAGACCTGGGGAGCCCCAACCAGACTGCCGAAACTCTAAGCCAGAAGAATAAGGTTCTGAGATTATGGGACACTGCACTTACCGGCCTCGAAGAGGCTCCACCATCCCCAGAGGCACTAGTCTGTGGGGAGCTGATTCCTTGAGGGCACTCACAGATTCTGTCTCCCTGCCCCAAGGACTTTCACAATGTCCAGAGACCCCCAAGTTCTGTGGTATGAAGCCATGAGAATGGTGGCAAGCAGTGGTGGGGATCTCTGGATACTATCCCTGTACTAGATTAGGTACTAGGGACATCCTTGACCAACATGAGGAAACACAGAATATCCCAAGAATCTAAGAGCAGTGACCACTGACATTGGTGGGAGGGGGAGGAGACAGGGGTTATCCTAGACAGAGTAGGTAGATGAGAGGCAAGGACTGTAGCAGAATGCTTGGGAAATGGACACCCATCTGAATCTATCAGGATGGGAGGGAAGTAAACAGTGACTCAAACAGGCAGGGTACCTCAAACTCCAACAAGTGCATTAGGACACCCCCAGACCCATTCACCGGATGGGGTGACTCACACAAAGTGACTGTTCTGGAAAAGGGATGATTGAGGGATGAATCAATGGAGGCCATTTCAGTCACCATATTAATGAAGCACCTAGGTATGTTTGGCCATGGGCTCTCAAATTCCGGAGACACTAGGACTCCAGGAAGGAGAAAGTTGGGCTAGGAGACTGGAACCAGATTTAAGAATCCATTTTGTTCGACAGTGATTAGGCAAGAAGCAAGCATCCTGGGCTCTTGGGGGCATTTTGGAAGGGGGCTTCAGAAGACAGAAGTGATGGAGATTTTTATTAGATCCTTCCTGCACTTTTGAGTCTTTCCTCCCCCCTTTGATAAATCTTTGATGGCTGTCTCCCATTCTCTCAGTTTGCCTGAAGTCCAGAGGTGGGGTAGGTCAGCTTCTGAAGGCCCTTCCAGTTAGGAAGTTTGTGAACCAGCAGCAGGAGCTGGACACCTGGCTTCAAAGGTCAGGACAGTTGGCATCAGGAAGAGAGGAGTAGAAAAGGATGTGCACAGGAGGCTGGCTACAAGAATTGACAGGCAACCATTTAGCTCCCGTACCTGGGAGGATGAGAGTGACAGCAGCTCCAAGGACTTGGATGTGGGCTGAGCCCACAGCCAGAGGCACAGATTATGGAGGGGTGTGTGTGGAGGAATTAGGTTTCCTAAGGCCCTAGATGAGTGGGTGTGGCAGGAAACTCTGGAGAATGGTCTGCACCCCCTGGTGGTGAGCACAGCTTGGGCGGATTTTGTGGAACCCCTTTTCTCAGTACAGGTCAATGCCCTCCATATTTGAGGCTTAGTCAGGATGCCAGCTTAGACCACATAGCAGACTGGCAGCCGAGCTGGCAAGGCTGGAACAAGGACACCTATTCTTGGTTTGGTGAGTTTTCCAGCAAACTAGCCAGGATAGGGTAGCAAGGATAGAGGCAGAAACAGATGCTCATGGGCTAGGGAGGGAAACAGAAACAAAGGGCCTGAGGCATCCACAAGCTCCAGCAGCCTCTCGTATCTGCCTCCTGCAGAATTCCCTGAGCGCAAAAGTCCTAAGGATCTCACCAGGAACTGACAGACCCAAGAAACTAGGGGGCAGCAAGATGGCAGATGAGGCCTTAGCTGGACTGGATGAAGGAGCTCTCAGGAAACTGGTAAGTAGCCCCATTGCTACACAACAGGGTGGGCAGCCAAGCCAGGGAGGTAGGGCCCATATAGTACTTCTCAGAGGACAAGAGGAGATAGGGAGGGGTTTGGAGGAGGGGCTATGGGAACAGGGCTTAGTTGGATCCATTTGGCTGATCCAGAGGCCCTTCTGGCATGTGCCTGTTCCATGTCTGGTTCTGAGACCTGGTCCTTCCCTGCCCCCAACTGCCGCCACCTGTTTAAACTGTAACTGCTGGGGACTCACCCATGGGTAGCTACAGGTGTGGGAAGGCTGGATCTGCCTCTCCCCAGCAGCAGCCTAGGCACTGCCCACTCCTGGAAGCCAGCCCAGTGATAATGGTAGCAGCAATGATTAATAATGTCAGGGCACAGCAGGGGGTAGGCTGTGTGCTGAGTACACCATCTCACAGATTGTTCACAGAAGTTCCAAGGGCTAGAATACTGCTGCTGGTTGTGGTGAAATTACCCACCCAAAGGCTCTGAGTTGGAAGCTGTGCCTGGGCCCAAACTCCAGAGGCGGGCCTTGGGGCACCAAGAGTCCTGGGGAAGTCAAGACTTGGAAGAATCCATGAGAGAAACATTGTGTGGGCTCTTATGGCTTCTGTGACTCCAAGTGTGCCATTGTCTCCTCTGAGTCCGTTTCCTTACCTGTAAAGCAAGGAGGGGGGTACATAAATACACAATATAGGTTGTTAGGGTTGGCATAGGGGTGAAACCCAAACTTTGGGATGGAGGTAGTACTGGTCCATCCACTCCATCCATTTCACCAGCTTCTTCCTACTCCCACATACAACCAGGCTGTGGGGCAACAGTCAGGGCAGCCATACAACAGTTGATGCAGGGAGGGGGGCAGAGCCCCACTGTTCAGCCCCTGACCCCTATCCAGGGCAGAAAATTAAAGATTTACTTTCACTAGAAGACAACCATACCATTCTCATTCCACTCCCCTAGAGGCAGAGACTGGGGCCACTTGGCCTAACTGCTGTAATCGTCCCTAGGTACTTGGCCTGTGTTTCCAGAGACCAGCACCTTAAACTGTCTGCTACCGCCACCTGTCACTTTTGGCTGTGTGCAGCTGGGAGGGAATGGGGTTCAAAGATGCCCACCAGTCAATTCCACCTCCCCTCCTCAAGAAGTCAGAGTCCTCATGAGGGTCGCAAAGTTGGAGAGCCAGCCAGATTAAGTGCCAGTGCATCCCCATCTCGGGAATATTCCATCCACTCACGCAAGGTTTGGGAGCTAGGGGATGGTTATAGAGAAGCAGCAAGGGGGGCGGTTGAAGCACTCCTGCCCCGGGGAAGGACAAACCAAACCCCGACCCCTCTGGCCACCGCGGTCTCAAGCCCACCTGGGCCCGCTCGTCCACCGCCCAGCGCCCGACATAGCTGCTCCCAGGAGCAACAGAGGGTCCCACCCTGCACCGCGCACTCCCGCCCGGCCCCCGCCAGCCTCGTGGCGGGAACGGGGGGCGCCCGGGGCCGGGCTCCACCCCGCGGGGCCGGGCCTTATATGGGAAAACTGGGCCGGCTCCGCCCGCCCTGCGCCCCTCCTGACTCCGGAGCCGGCAGCCGCTTCCGGCCTGGGCTCCGGCACATTCCTGAGGACGGGGCAGGGGGCTGCGCGGGGTGGAAGGGGCACTGGGGACAAGCACGCCGCGTGTCCCTGTGCCGTGGGTCTGGACGCCCTCCACCCCGGTGCTGGGTTCGAGTTCGGATTCCAGCATTCCACCCCAGACCTGGGGAAGCAGCTTGGGCTCTATGAACCTCCGCTTCCTCTCTGGATCGGGACATTAAAGCAGGGGTGGCGGGGGGCTTCCTGTCTGGCTCCCCACGCGGCGCCGGGCTGGAGGCTGGAGACTGGTGGCCGGGGCGTGGGCGGGTCCCACGAGCATCCGCGGTGGAGCCGGCGGGCCTTCGGCGCCCCCTGGCGAGGCCTTCCTCCTTTGCTCCGGTCCCAGAGCGCTGCTTGGATCCTGGGGCTGAGCAAAGCCTTGGAGGAGACTAGCTTCTTGGGCAGGTGGGGATGCTGGGTTTACCAGATGCCCCCAGCCGCGAGCGTAGAAAGTACCTCCTTCCTCTTCTCCAGCCCCTGGGAGAAGGAAGCACCCTCTTTCCTCCCAGGAGAATTTCACTAGGCTGTTTCGGAAACCGCCCTATCCCCTTCCCCTTCCCCCTGGTGGACAATAGCCCTTTGTACTTCCTTCCCTCCCTCCCACAGCCCCCTCCACACACGGTGGGGATGACTAGAGGGTGGAGAACGCTGGATACAGCAGGGATACTGTGGTCTGACCTTTGGTGTTAGAGAGTGGGGAACACATGACACATAGGACACTGTGGTCTGAACTTTACTGGCAGGCCCAAAGGGAAGAGTAATGCCAGAGAGTGACCAGTGGAATGAGGTCCATCTCTTAGCCACCCTCATCCAGTTAGGGAGGATTCCAATTTCCACATGGAGACAGAGGTTCCCAGGGGTTGTAGAAATGGCCAAGTTCCTATATCAAACTTTTTTCAGGGGAATTGAAAATGGAGGCTGGAGATACAAGGATTAGTCATTTTACCTCTGGGCCACTTAACCTCTGCACCAGAGTGGACCAACTCTCCCCTAAGGCCACAATCTCCAAATGTCCTAGGGCAGTGAACCTTATGCTCTCCCCCCTCTGAGGTAATAAGGTCTCCTAAGGCATTTCTAGACCAAGTTGGAGGGATCTCTAGCATAGTTCCAGGGGCCTCAAGGATCCCTACCATGACACAGAGACCCCAGTATCATGGCTGTCTTTAGTCTTAGCAGGCCCTGCTAAACTTAGATCGAAACCCTCATCCAAGTCATTGGACCATAAACTTGAGCCACAGTTTCCTATCCTTGTCAGATAGGCATTAATGTATCAAGAGTTGGTAAGGGGGCTGGAGAGATGGTTTAGCAGTTAAAGAGAGCTTGCTGCTCTTTTAGAAGACCAGACTCTTAACAGAGGACCCCAGTTTGCCTCCCAGCACCCATGTCAGGCAAGTTCACAACTGCCTGTAAGTCCAGCTCTAGGCTGCCCTCTTCTGGCCTCTACAGTCACCTCCACACACATGGCATACACTCAAAAGACATATATAGTCTTTTTTAAAAGAAGTAGATAAGAACAAGTCGGGGTTTAGCACAGGTCTGACACAGGGTCTCAGTAAATATGCCAGTGTCTTTCCTTGCCTTCTACTCTGGACTGGCTAGAACCAGGTGGAAGGAATTGATGCTTTTTGCATATGCATATGCAGGGGAAGCCCCTGAGTCACTGCTCCCTTTCCATCTTCTGCTTTGTCCTAAGGGTCACTGCCCCATCTGGTAAATAAGGAAGGTGATAGAGAGGCTAAGGAAAATGGTCTTGACCACCCAGCCAGGCCTGAACTGGGGCTGGGACCTGCTGGAGGTTCTGGCCTGAGCTTCAGGGGACTGATGCTCTCTAGCTCCTAAGGAATGTGGATCCTGGGGGGCTGGTCCCCAAGGACCTCCCCAATCTCTTCAGATTAGGACAAACTGGCTAGTGGCTACATGGGGCCAGCCTATGTTCCCTGCTGAAGCTTATCTATCTCCACCCCCACTCCCGCCTCCCAGCTCCCCTACTGAGCAGGAAGGACCCATGAAGGGGACCCTGCCTTGACTTGTTTCCACTTGGCTATCCATATTGGAGGCTTAGCTCTGCCACTGTCTTCTGGGCAGGTACTGGACTCTGGCCTCCTCCTTAAGCTACATAAGATTTCTTTGGGGTTGGGGTTGGAAAGCACCAGCATTGCTTGTTTCAGTACCAAGAACGTGTCCTTTTCTGGACCTGCTATCAGGTCCCCAATTTCCCAGGAACTTCAGGGCTTAGAAGCTGATGGGAATTCATGTCCTCTGTGGACACCTCTCTAGGGCTATAGGTAGTCCCTATAGGTAGCTACCTACCAGAGCACCTGCCTCTACCTCAGATTCCCCATCTGTCATCTTCCCCGGCAGGGCCATGCTACTCTGTGACTAGCTCACAGGGACTTCAGCTCTCTGAATCACCCTTCCCTTTTCAAGGACATAGGGGTGACCTCCTTCCTCCTGCTGTGGCTCCCTAGCCTTAAGGGTTAAAAAGGACTCTGAGGGCAGGCGTTAAGTTACAAGGACTGCCTGACTACTTGGCACCTGGCATGGGTGGGTGGTTGGCTATGCAGTCACAGAAGGTGGCCCTGTGAACTACAATGTACAGTGGGCTCTGCAGGATCCCTGCCTGGCACTGTGAGCTGGGTCTCCCCCTCAGTGGGTGGGCAGGCATGTGACAGGCTTAGGGCACAGGGACTGGAGACAGTCCACTCATTGTGCCCCAAGCAGAACTGTGGGCAGCTGGTGCCAGACCTCTGCCCCTGACAACCAAAATGTCCTGCCCCTCGCCCCCACTGGCATTGCAGCTGGAGGTCACAGCAGATCTGGCAGAGCGTCGCCGGATCCGCTCTGCCATCCGGGAGTTGCAGCGGCAGGAGCTGGAGCGAGAGGAGGAGGCTCTGGCATCCAAACGCTTCCGTGCTGAGCGGCAGGACAACAAAGAAAATTGGCTACAGTGAGTGGCAGAGGGGGTTGAATGTGTGAGTGGGAGAGTGTGCCAGGCATCAGTTCATATAGGCAGGTGTAGGGACAGGTGTGTCTGCCACCTGTGTGCATTAGCAGTATGTGCACACTTCTGGATTACGCAGGGGTACTTGTGGACATGGGTCAAGTATTGACTGTGGCCATGAAATGTAGATAACTTGTCTGAGCATGTGGTATTGGTATCTGTGTTCAGGGGTGTACATATAGTGATGTATAGTCAGAGGGTCTGCACAGAGAGCTCCAGATCCTTCTGCCAAGTTTTGGCCCTCTGTCCTGGCCCCTACCTTGAGCCTCCGTCCCCATCATGCAATGATGGTTACAGTCATGATGTCTCTGCAGCTCACAACAGCGGGAAGCTGAGCAGCAGGCTGCCCTGGCACAGTTGGCAGGGCGGCTGGAGTCCATGAATGATGTGGAAGAGTTGACCACACTGGTGAGACCCAGGCCAGGCAGGGGAGAGGGGCAGGGCAAATGAAGATCTGGACTCCACTGCCCATCACTGTGGCCTGCCTGTCATCCACAGCTTCGGAGTGCCGGTGAGTACGAGGAACGCAAGCTGATCCGAGCTGCTATCCGTCGTGTCCGGGCTCAGGAGATTGAGGGTAGGTGCCCTTCCCACACTTCACCCCTGCCTACAGCACCTCTCCATCATTTGCCTGACATGTGCCCCCTGCCCTTCCAGCTGCCACCGTGGCTGGAAGGCTCTGCAGTGGGCGTCCCAACAGTGGCTCCAGAGAAGACAGCGGGGGGCAGGCAGCACACAGATTGGACCCATGTGAGGTAAGGAGTGTGTGTGGTGGGAGGGTGACCCAGTGTCTTGTGCCTGTTGATGCCAGTAGTATAGGGCTCCTTACTGGGAGCTGGCCTCCTGCCTGTGTTTGGGGAGCCCTGGAGTTTACTTTTAGATAACTCCAATTTACTCTCAGATAACTCCAGCTCCATACCTTCCACTTTAGACTTTGAACTCAGGCTTTTGTCTCAAAGCAACCTGTCTACACTGCTCCAACTTCCTGCCCCTTCCCTTTCATGGACACATTGACACCTCTTCTGTCTCCACTTCTACTTCCCACCCTCACCCCTCTGTTCAGCCTTTGCTCAGGATCTCCTAGAAATTCAAATCTAGTCCTGGTGCCTCTCCTGGCTTAAACACATCACCGTGCTGCCTATCACCCTCCAGATACCCAGCATCCTTACCTTGGCTCATCGGCCCCAGCTGGATGGTAGATCACTGTTCACTGTCTTCTCTGTTCTTCAGGAAGTGTGGGAGAGCAGTTTCCCCTAGTGGCCAGCAGAGGATGCTAGCTGCCTGGCCCTGAATGACTCCATGTCTCTATAATTAACTAGACTGAGACCAGAGCCAGGACCCCCTGCTCTAGGGATCTTTTAGAGTTAGGAGTCGCCAGAAAGTTTCCTGCTGTCCCCAACCACTGACATTAGGACCTGATGCTTGCTGAACTGCCTTTGGCATTGACTGACCTTCCTTATGCAGGTGTGCCCATAGGAAGCCATGCCCAGCCCCTCTGCTTTGCATGCCCTTCCCTGGGTATCTGTCAGCCTGGCCCTCCAGGGGTGATGGTAGCACTCAAAGTCAGGGAAACCTTAGTTACATCCTATGGGTCCCTCACAGGTGCCAGAACGGGAGGAACAGGAACAACAAACTGAGGTCCCAGACAGAGCACCAACCCCAACCCCTGAGGACACCAGCCAGGATATGACCACAGTGACACTCCTACTGAGGGCCCCACCTGGGGGCACACCCAGCTCACCTGCCTCACCCGATAGTTCACCCACCACTGCTTCTCCTGAGCCTCCACTAGAACCTTCTGGAGACCAGTGTCCTGCTACAGAGACTCCAGGCAGCCCCGAACCACCTCCTAGCCCCTCAGAAGCTCCCAGCCCTGAGCCCCCCATGTCATCAGCACCTCCCAGCTCTGAGGAACAGGTGGTCAACAAGGTGAGTCTGGATAAGAAGTAGAGATGTCAGACAGATGAGTTCCTTGGTCTGGGAATCAGCCCTTCCTATGTGGTATCTCTCTTGCAGCTCCTGCCTGCCCCCACAGAGTGCCCTGCTGCCCTGGACCTCACCAGAGGCCCCTCCAACACAAAGAGGACAGGTGAGGATCCCTGTAGATTGCTATAGGCTTCTGCTTTACCCTGTCTCTGCTTCCCTTTACCTACCTGTAAAATACCTCAGCAGCTCCAGGCTCCTCAGGTTCAGGCAGTCCCTGGCACTCCCCTGCCCCTGAGGTGTTCCCACCCCTGGCCAAGCCCACCCCTGCCACCCATGGCCAGAGGCCTCCCTGCAGCCTTGAAAGGCAAGGAGCCTTAGGCACATTCTTCTCCCCAATAAGGGAGTGCACCCATCTCCCAGCTAGATCTGTAGCAGTACTGGCCAAGGGGGGGCTGTCCCCTACCCCCCATCTTCAGGGAGGATCTAGATACCTTCCTCGGGCCCAAACCTGCCCCTGGTCCCTAGGAGTGCCCACGTCACCCTGTGGTCAGTTTGGGAGAAAAAGGAGGTGCCTATAGGAGGGTTGCAGCTGAGTGGACAGGCCTGAGCAGTGGGCAATGCTGAATGGGGTAGAAAGGCTATGGAGGAGAGAAATATGACATGTGGACACACCCCTGCGTCTACTTTCTTTTCTCCCCCACCCCCACCTCATGGCTGCCATCCACATCCCAACCTACCAGACCTGGCTGGATCCCAACCCTGCCAACACTCCCTGTCTGTGCTCAGCCCCCTACGGCCAGTCCAGAATCGAGGTACTGCTTATTTTTACCAGTCCCAGTCTCTACTAGAGCCCCTGTCCCATCCAGCCATTGACAGCTCTCCTGTTCCTTCTAGAATCCATCCCCCTTGCCAGTGGACCTTCCCCGATCCATCGGGCTGGCTCTGTGCGAGATCGAGTCCGCAAGTTCGTGTCTGATTCTCCTGTGGCTGTCAGGCTCCAGGATGGTCCACCCAGGACAGCCCTTGCTTCCCTGACCCCCACAAGGCTCCTGGGCCCCTCCCTCATCAGCACCACGCCTGCCTCCTCCAACAGCTCCTCCTCTCGAAAGCCCAATGACACTTCTTCCCAGTTCAGCAAGGAGCAAAGAGGAAGAGCTCAGCCCCTGGCCCAGCTTCAGAGCTGCCCACAGCCCCCGCCTGCGGGGCGGGGCTTGGCTCCCAGATCCCTTGAAAACCAAGCAGGGGGGCCCAGAGCCTGCTCAGAGGATCCCAGTGTTCCACTGCCTGTGGCCATCGGCACTGGGGAGCCAGGGGGCAGTATGAAGACCACGTTTACCATCGAGATCAAGGAAGGTCGTGGCCAAGCCTCCACAGGCCGAGTACTGCTGCCCGCAAGCAACCAGAGGGCAGGTAGGCTTCCCACTGCTGGATTGGAGTGCCTACAGCCCCCACTCCCCATGTCTGCATGTGGGACATGTGCAGTACCCAGTGTTCAGGGTGCCTCCATGGGTGCCCTGCAGACCAAGGTGCCATCCACCTTGGTTGGCACGACCCTTACCCTGACTGGCCCTGACAGCAGCCCGTTTCTCCAAGCAGAACTGACACTAGGACTGCGGGCACCCCCTAGCCTTCTCAGCAGCAGCAGTGGGGGCAAGAGCACCATCAGCCATGTCAGCACCCCTGGGACTATGACCCGGCTGGGCAGTGTCACTCATGTCACTACCTTCAGCCATGCCTCCCCTGGTAACCGAGGAAGCTGCAACATTAAGGTGAGCCCCTCCTCACTTTACTAGCCTCACTATCCATCACTGTCTATAGAATCCTTAAAGGCGTAGTGTTGGCAGGGTTCCTTTCCTCTCCTCCTCCGCCACTGTGCACACAGAGAAACTGAGGCCCAGAGAAGGAACGTGGCATAGCTAAGGCAGTTGGTGGCATAGCTGAGACTAAATGATACTATATCATCCAAAGGCATATCTCACTTCTACCCTTTATTGTTGTTTTGTTTTATTTTATACAGAGTCTCTTGTAGCCCAGGTTGGCATTGAATGTACTATGTAGCCAAGGCTATCCTTGAACTCATGATCTTCCTGCTTCCACCTCCCAAATGCAGGAATTACAGGTGTGAACCACCATGTCTGACTCCACTTGATCTTTGATCCTTGCACCAAAATTGATTGGTTCATTCCTAATGAACAGATGGGAAAACTGAGTCTCAGAGAGAGTGGTAGGGGCTTTCCTCTCTTCCTTTGGCAACCCCTGTGTGCCACCCTGGACATCAGCCCCAAGGCATAGAGCAGCTCATAGGCTCATCCAAGATCAGCCTAGTCCATTAGGAGATTAGTGATTAGCATCTTTGACAGCCTCCCTGTGGGGACAGGGCAGAACTATTGATGAGGACAGGCAGGCAGGAGGGCTCCAGGCAGGTGAGGCATCAGCCTAGCAGGTGCCACGGGAACTGAATACCCTGTATCCTTCCATTATTCATTCCCAAGCCTGGGATCAACTGGCTGGGAGCTCAGCAAGGGAAGAGATTCCCAGCAGGCTGCCTGACTGCCCACCCAGGTAATACCCTCTATGCTGTATGAGAAACTGAATGGGACTTTGGCTAAGGTGAGGTGGTTAGAGCCATCTTTGAGCCTTCTGAGGGTTGACAGGGGAAGAATAGAGGCAAGAGCACCCTTCTTGCTACAAAAGAGGATCCAGTTGATTGGGGTAGGCTGTCATGAGGGATGGTTGCAATTGAGGCCCTTGGGGTGAATATAAGTGTCAGAGCAAGACTTGGCTCTGGCAGTAGCCACTCACCTGTTTACCCACTTAGGGTGAGCAGGTGATGTGTCTATTAGGCACTTTCTCAGAGTCTGGGCTTGGAGCTGAACATCATGACTGGACCAGAGGACATTCACCTCAGGACCAAGACACCCATTCCAACAGATTACTTAAAGTCCCTCCTCTCTGTGCCTCCATTTCCCCCACCTGTTCAAGTCTTTATAAGGTAATGTGGCATGAAAGCAGAAGCATACAGGACCTGGAGCCTAACAAACTGGATTCTCACAGCTAGTGTAGTAGTGGCTCAGGACCATGTCTTGTTCCCTGCCTCTGTTTCCCCACCTGTGAGGCATGGGGTTGTGGTTTCAGTAATCCTTGAGAACCCGTGCAGCCTTGCTGTGCTTCAGTTCTGTGATCTCTGCAGGGCCAGGCCTGGCGGTTGGCCTGCTTGGGCAGGCTACCCATCCCCCTCTAACCCCTCCATAAAGGAGCCCAGAATAGGTTTCTATTTGGGCAGCAGCTCCAGCTGGCTGGTGGCAGGCTGAGAGGCCGGCAGGGGCGGGGCAGGCTCACTGCCCTTGCCTTCACCCTCAAACCAGCTGCAAAGACTCTGACACTACCAGATAGGTAGCAGCCCCTGCTAGTGTCCCACCATTACGCCCCATAAAGTCCCTACTAGCACTATGCCAGGAGTACCAGGGCCTGGGCCTGAGATGGCTGTAGCCCTTGAGGAACGCTTGGGCCAGGCGTTGCAGGAGCTGCAGGCAGTGGCTGAGGCAGGCAGGTCAGCAGTGACCCAGGCAGCCGATGCAGCCCTAGCCACCATGGAGCCAGTGGCTCAGGCAGCCGAAGAACTTCGAGCAGAGACAGCAGCTCTGAGCCGGCGGTTAGATGCGCTGAGCAGGCAGGTAGAGGTGCTGAGCCTACGGCTGGGGGTCCCACTTGTACCGGACCTGGAGTCTGAGCTGGAGCCTAGTGAGCTGTTCCTGGCTGCTGCCAACCCTGAGGCCCTCTTCCAGGCGGCTGAGGATGCTGGGACCCCTGTGGCCCACCCACCTGCCTTTAGCACCCGCCGGCAGTCCTCTGCAGGCCCCTCTTGCAGCATCGGCTTCGTAAGTCAGCTTGTGGGAGGGAGTGGATTTGAGCCAAACCCTGCTGAGTGACTATAGGTGTACCAACACCTCAGCCTCAGTTTACCTCTCTGTACAAAGGACTAGGGCACTAGTACTCCGAGATTGGGACAAGACAGTGCCAGGCTTTTGTTCTGGCAGAGCTGTCCTGGCAGCTTTGGGCATGGCCCAGCCTCCAACCCCACCCCCACACTCCCACCTAAGTCAGGCCGAGCCTCCCCAGAACAGCTGCCACCCCAGCTTTCCTTACCCTCCTGGCAGACAGAGGCCCTGCTGGGAGGGGAGGGCTGTAGTAGTTGGGCTAGAGCTTTGGCTTCAAGGGGTGAGGCGGGTGGGGAGTGATCCCCTGAGGGAGATAGGGCAGAACTGGATGCTTCTTACAGAATGGTTCTCAGCAAGATGGGGAAAGAGGGAAAATGGAATAGTGAGCTTCAGAGAGGTCTTGGCCTGGGTCAGCCCCAGCTAGACACCTGGTTAGGATCCCTTAACACCTGGACCAGCCCTTGGCAATGTAGGGTGAGGTATGTGCTACATGGGAGGAAGCTAAAAATGAAGCATTAGAAAGACCTCAATCAACTTCAGGAGCTAGACTACCTCAGCTTAGCCCCCAGGCTACATTACACTTATAGAAGGTCTGTGGGCAAGTCATTCCATTAATTTGTATTATTATACAAATACTTTTCGACTGAATGGAAACCATTATAATGCCACTACCAACTGTATTAATATGATTCTGGATATGTGGGCAACCCCACATAAAGTTGCCAGTTTCTCTACAATGGGCCTAAAACCGACATGACCACCCTGGGCCTGCCAGGCAGGCAGGCTGCTGGTTATTTCCAAGACGATGCCAGCTATATCCAGGATTTGGTCCTATGTCCACTGAGGTTTTATCCATATCCTTGCTTAAAACCTATGCTTTCTCCACACTCCATAGATGGAGCCAGAGCCAGCAGAGCCCCCTTCTGTGGCAGTGGAAGCAGCTAATGGTGCAGAGCAGACTTGGGTAGACAAAGCACCAGAGGGGCGGAGCCCACTGAGAGCTGAGGAGCTGATGGCCATTGAGGATGAAGGTGTCCTGGACAAGATGGTATGGTGAATCTGGTGGACTGGGGCTGGCAGAGGATGGGGATGGGCAAGCCCTAGGTATGCAATGTCTACTTTATCTACAGCTGGATCAGACCACAAGCTTTGAGGAACGGAAACTCATCCGGGCTGCTCTCCGTGAGCTCCGACAAAGAAAGAGAGGTAGAGAGCCAGTTACCCACCCTAGATAGAGCTGCTCCGTTGTTCCTCCGCTGCTCCCTTTGCACTGGGGTTCTTTGATAGACATTCCACCTCAGTAGCTGCCCTCCCTCATTGCCTTCCCTAGAGCCATCTGTTCCCTGGCTTCCTTGCCCTGCATCCAGCTGTTCATTCCCTCGATGTTGCTCTCCTTCCTAAACCCAGTTACTGTTCCCCAGACATTTCACCTTGTATCTAATTTCTGTCAACTGTCAAGAACGCCATGCTTGCGTCCAGATGACCCTTTTCCCACTTGCTCCTGTCTCTCATCCACCTTAGCCTCTGCTCCTACCCAGATTCCTGCTTCCTGGACACAGCTACTTCCTTCTGACAGGTTCTTCCCTGGATTCAGCTATTCTTTCCCTCATCTTCTAGATACACTCACTTCTCTGAGATAACAGTTATTCTCTGAGAAAAAGTACTCTTTTTTTGTTTGTTTGTTTTTTGCTAGGAATCAAACCCAGAGCCTCATGCATTCTAGGCAAGCACTCTACCACCAAGTTACACCCCCAGTACTCAGTTATTCCTTTTTTAGAATCTAACTTCTTCCTCCGAGGCCTTCTGATCCTCCCTCTCCTTCAGCCTCTATGCCCATCTACTTACTTTTTCTTTAGGCCCAGCTAACTTCCTTCACAAGTTTCTTGCTCAACTGTTCTTTGCCTAGATCTGATTGCTTCTCCAATACCGGGACTCTCTCCCTTTCTGGGTCTAGATACCTAGACTCCCTCCCTCCCTGGGTCTAGACAGCCCTTCCTCCAGCTGCTTTTCACCTTCCTGAGACCAGTTTGAAGGCCCAGTACTCAACTACTGTGTTCACCCAGCTCTCCTTGTATGTCAGCTACTCCCTTCTAACTGACCTACTTATTCTCACAGAAATGTCTATCTTAGATCAAAATACCCCTGTGAGATCAGCTATTCTATGTTTCCTACTCCATCTGCTAGTGTCCGCTGCCCTCAATACACACTCCACTCTGCCAAGTTATGGTAGTCCCCTCACCCTCAGCCATCCCTAGACAGGCCCTTGTTTAGTGTGTCATTGGTGTTTCTAACAAACTGCCTCCACCCCACCCTGTGTGCCCCCCTGTGCCTGTGCACATGTGCTGTGTGGTGTTGGGTGACCCTTCTGGGCGTGCATGGGGCATCCCCTGCCCAGACCAGCGGGACAAGGAGCGAGAACGGAGGCTGCAGGAGGCACGGGCCCGGCCAGGGGAGAGCCGAAGCAGTACGGCCACAGAGACTACCACAAGGCACACTCAGCGGGCAGCTGATGGCTCAGCTGTCAGCACTGTTACCAAGACTGAGCGGCTCGTCCACTCCAGTAAGAGGCCAAATGGGGCTTAGGGTAAGAGTGGACTCAGAGTATCCCCCTGTGCCTTTCACACCCTTCTTCATCTCTTCTCATCTCCTGCCCCACCAGATGAAGGCACACGAACGGCCCGCACCACCACGGTGGAGTCAAGTTTTGTGAGGCGCTCGGAGAGTAAGGCCACCAGCCCCCTGTGCCTGTCTGCCTGCTGCCTCCTTGGGCTCTTCCTTAAGCACTCTTTGTGTCTTCAAGTATTGTGCCCATACTTTCTCTTGTCTACTGTGGCTATCGCCATCTCTCCATATGACCTCCGCTCCCATTTCCTTGTGTCCAGCCCAGGCCCTCACTTCTTTCTGCTTTTATGCAGATGGCAGTGGCAGCACCACAGTACAAACCAAGACCTTCTCCTCTTCTTCTTCCTCATCCAAAAAAATGGGCAGGTGAGCATGGGTGCCCACTCCCAGATCCCAGAGGAGGCTATGCTTATGGGGAACCTCACTATGTACCCATTCTGCAGAGGGGCAGGCTGACATGCTGGGAGGTGATAGGCATAGAGTCAAGGAAGAACCAAGCATGTCCTGACCACTTTGTGACCTCACTTAATCCTCAGCTGCACCATAGGGTGGGGCTGGGGGATGCTTACAGAGGCCAGGCACCTGCTTTAGGGCCTCATCACTCTGACTGGCAGCAGCAACATTGAGGCCATGGAGCAACACACCTACCCCTGGCGCCTGCTGGCACTGCCACTTTTCAACAACCACTTCTAGGTCGCAGAGCACATTGGCCCCTGCAGGTGAACTGGTGGCTCCAGGAACTCTGAATCAGTGGCCTGCATTCAATTCCAGTCCTGTAACCATGTCCTCTGAAATCTTAGGAAGGGGCCTTGATTGCCTTCTCTTTAGTGGAAATAGCATGAATTCCTCTTACCCCTTGTGAAGTTTACTATTTTTTTTCTCTTTTTATTAAAATGTTGTTTTGTTGTTGTAGAGATTAGAACCTGGGGCCTCAGGCATGCTAGGTGAGTACTGGACCACTGAGCCAAATCCCCAGACCTCTTTTTACTTTTTTTTTCGTTGAGACAGGGTCTCCCTGTAGCCCCAGCTGCCCTAGAACTCACTATGTAGACCAGGCTGGCCTCAAACTCACAGACATCTGCCTCCCAAGTGCTCTTTTTAGTTTTTTATTTTGAGACAGGGTCTTCCTAAATTGCTTATGTTGGCCTACTCCCTCTGTGGTCCAGGCTTTGAATTTTCAGTCCTTCTGCCTCACCTACCTAAGTAACTAGGATTACAGGCCTGCATTTATTTGGTTGAGGTTTTTTTGGGGGGGGGGCGGTCAGAGTGAGGGTCAGGGTCTCACTGTGTTTCTCAGGCTGGTTTTGAACTCATGGTCCTTCTCCCTCAGCCTCCAGAGTGCTGGGATTACAGGAGCACACCACATGTAGTTCAGTTCCATTGTAAAGTTTAAATGGTGCAATAGAGGACCTAGGTTGTAGCTCAGGTGTAGAGCATTTGCTTAGCATACAGAGACCCTTCCCCAGCACTAGAAAAAAATGGCACACAGAAAAGGTTCAAGGGCATAAGCTTCTACTAATACTATTATTGTGCTAGTTATTGTTGTTTTGGCACTAGAGATTGAATGTAGGGGCCTTGTGCTTGCTAGGCAAGTACTTTACTAGTGAGCTGCATTCCAGCCCTTTTTTTCGGGCTTTTTTTTTTTTTTTGGTTTTTTTTTTTGAGACAGTGTTTCGCTAAGTTACCCAAGCTGGCCTTGAACTTACTCTATAGCTCAGGTGGGTCTTGAATTTGCAATCCTCCTGCTCAGCTTCCCAAGTAGCTGGGATTACCAGCTCATTCTAAAAGGGCTGGCTCCTTTTTATTACTCAATAATGCCTAGATTGTGAACTTGCTTGGAAGTCAACAGTAAAAATAAAAAAAACCCATTAGAAAATTTCTGGGGGCTAAGCCTGATCAAATGAGCTTGGCTGCCAACCTCCTATGCTTGAGCCTCTGAGTACGCCTCCTTTGTAAAATGGGTGTGACAAAGACACACATTTCCTGTTGCCATCGCCACTCCCCAACTCCCTTTATTCCCTCCTTCTTCATTTATTAGTGGAAGTTGCTATTGGCATTTGATGCACTATAGGATCCTTCCCAAACACTGCCACCACAGCAGCCCAGGTGGGTCCATACAGCTCCATCAGCTTCAGTATTCAAACAGCCAAAGCATCAAGCTTATGTTTCTGGTCTGGTGCCAAGCTAAGACCAGTGGCTAGGAGACTAGGCCCCACTCTTCCTCTGGCCTAACAGTCGTCTTCTCACCCTCCAGCATCTTTGATCGAGAGGACCAGACCAGCCCACGGCCTGGCAGCCTGGCAGCCCTGGAGAAACGCCAGGCAGAGAAGAAGAAAGAGTTGATGAAGGCACAGAGTCTGCCCAAGACTTCAGCATCCCAAGCTCGCAAGGCCATGATTGAGAAGCTGGAGAAAGAAGGCTCTGCAGGGTGAGTGGCAGAGGGTATGGGCTGGGCAGTGGAGATGGAGCTTGATGGCCACAGGGGGAGGAGTTAGAGACCAGAGCAGCAAGACTCCAACTGTGGTAGAAAGGGTGAAGGTCATGGAAAACTGGACCCTATGACCAAAGGGTGGGCCCACTGGTCAAGTCATGTGATCCAAACACTACCCCTACAGCAGCCCTAGTGCACCCCGTACAGCTGTACAGCGCTCCACCAGCTTCGGAGTCCCCAATGCCAACAGCATCAAACAGATGTTGCTGGACTGGTGCCGAGCCAAGACTCGTGGCTATGAGGTGAGTCCATCAGCCTCCACAGCTTGGTACCACCCTCTTTGAAGAGCTCACATTCCCCTGTAGCTCCAAAGCCACCATGTGCTCTGGCAGGAAACATGAACAACATTCTCAGATGGAAAAACTGAGGCTCAAGGAGGCAGTATGTCCTGCTTTGGATCCCAGAATAAGTGACAGAGCCTAGTGAAGGCCCCTTGGGTGGTAGACATGGTTCAAGGACAGATCCCACTATGGAATCCATTCCATGTTGCACTGAATAAATTTCTGTGAGGGAAGGAGCGATGGGAACATGCCCATAGCTTTAGCTGAGTGACACTGGGCCTCTCTGTAGTCATCTCCCTTCCCCCCTAGTCACAGACATGGAGAGTTAATAAACCAAATTGGAAGAGGCTCTTGTTTTGACTACTCACCTACTGTGTAGTCCTGAGCAAGCTGTAGCCCAATTGCCCTTGGTCTGAGATGCCAAAACACAGGGGGATAACAGACATAAGAAAGTTACCCCCACAGTCCTGACTAGTTCTCTACCACCCATAGCATGTAGACATCCAGAACTTCTCCTCCAGCTGGAGTGATGGGATGGCCTTCTGTGCCTTGGTGCACAATTTCTTCCCTGAGGCCTTTGACTATGGGCAGCTTAGCCCGCAGAACCGGCGTCAGAACTTTGAAGTGGCCTTCTCGTCTGCTGAGTAAGTATGAGCCCCAGCCCTGCTGGTGTCAGCTGGGCTCAGCTGCCCTTGAGACCCTATGGAAGTGGCCAGCAGCACTGTGGGTCTGCAGCTAAGACCCCCTTCCCCAGAGAGTTCCCGTCCTCCTCTGCCCCTGCCCACCTGCTGCTGAGAGTACCAGGTGCCCGCCAGAAGGAAGGAGCAGCAGGCCTGCCCAGCAGCCCAGGCTAAAGCCCACAGGTGGCCCTGTCCATATCCCCTCCCTCCTCCCCTGTCCCTCCTCTCTCAGTTTCTCTGTCCTGCTCTCCCACTATCACCAGAGCTTCCTGCTCCCACGGGATCCCGGCTGGAGATTCCAAAAGGAGGCTCCTGGCCCGGGCACCGTGCCCGAGCAGCCTATATAGGCTTGTTATATAGGACCTCAGCAAGCCCTCCACTTTGGAATCATTGCCCCTTCCGCTCACCTCACCCAAGCACCCTCCTCCATCTCTTTCCTTTTTTCCCCTTCTCTTTCTAGTTCCTTCCAGAACTTTTCCTCCTCCTCCCCACCTCCTCTCACGCCTCCCTCACCCCCCATCCCCGGGGCACAGCCCTCCTCTCCAACCTAGGCACCGATGCCATTGCCCCCCCGACCCCGTGTTCCCGCTTGCCCCAAGAGTTCTCTGCACCTGTGACTGGTTTGGCCCCCACCCTTGTCTGCACCGCGCACCATTAGTGATGGGTAGTGAGCGGCACGTCCACCATGGGGAGGGGGCATGCGGGGGGGGGCTGGCAGACTGCGGCACTGAGAACATAACTGAACTCATGTCTCTGTGTGTGTGTATGTGTATGTCTCTCTCTGTTCTCCCTTTTCTCTTCTTGGCCTTTCTTTCTTCTTCCCCTACTGGGTCCTGCCCCCTGCCCCTTCCCGGCCCCCTACCCTCCCCAGGACCCATGCGGACTGCCCGCAGCTCCTGGATACAGAGGACATGGTGCGGCTTCGAGAGCCTGACTGGAAGTGCGTGTACACGTACATCCAGGAATTCTACCGCTGTCTGGTCCAGAAGGGGCTGGTAAAAACCAAAAAGTCCTAACCCCTGCTTGGGGCCCCACGGTGAGAAATGCCGCCTCTCCCACCTGTCCCATTTCACCGGAATCTGCTCATCAGTGCACAAAGAGGCTGGGGTGGGGGGCATTATAAAAGCTAGAGGAGGCAGACAGGACCCGGTCTTCTGATAGTTCAGAGCCTAGATGACACCATTTCAGGTGGGCAATGATTACCCAAGTGAGGAAAACAGGAATGCTAGGTGGTCATGGGAGCCCCAGAGTGGGGGGGGGGCTCAGACCCAGACTTTAGGCCCAGGATGGCAGTCTGAAAAAGTGAAAACTAACTGGGATCTGAACAAATTCAGACGAAAGGCAAGAGAAAGAGCTGTAGGCAGAGGATCAACAAATCCACAGAGAGACAGAGAATATGGCATACCCTGAAAAGAAAGGGACTTGCATCTGGGTGTGAGGTTGAAAGACGGGACCGCAGACTGAGTTTGAACGTCCTCCTAAAGACACAGGAGTCACAAGGTATCCAAACAGGAGAGATGCATATGCCCAAGTTAGCATTCTAGAATAATCCTTGGATGAGATCTGAGATGTTCAAGGTGGAACTGCAGCAGCAGCAGAAGTCAAGGGGACAGAGTCAGATGTGCTGGTGCATGCTTGTAATCCCAGCATGCAGGAGTCTGTAGCAAGATCACAGTTCAAGGACAGCCTGGGAACATAGAAAGACCCTGTCTTTAAAAAACCAAGTAGAGGAGACAGGCTTTCTAGGAGATCTAGTTTGGAGAAAGGGGGGGGGTCAAGACACCACCCAAGTTTGCAGTGTGCCATGTGGTGAGTTGAGTTGGTGGTATCCTCCAAGGTAGGGAGCTTGGGAATAGGAACAGTTCGACAGAAAGGTGTTTCTGGCTGAGAGGTCCTTGGTCCCCCAAGCCATATGGCTTTCCTCTCTGGTCACTTCACCTCAGGGTCACAGTAAAGAATTCTGACCTGAACAAACTGTCCTGTTGCAGATAAGGCGCTCAGAGAGCAAGAGAGGTGAGCTTGGAGTGTCCCCAGGAGAGGAGAATTAAGTTAGAACAAGGGGCCACAAACTGACTCCAGACTTTCCATGTAGTGGTTCTTTTTCTTGCCCTGCCACTGTTTTTCTACCGGTTTTGTAGAGAGAAGTAAAAGTAGAGGTCCAAAAGGAATTTCTGAAAGCAATGTGACTTAGAGATAGAGCCAGGGGGGTGAACTGGGATGTTCGTCTGGGCCACATATGCACACATACACTCAGAAGTGCAGGTGTGGAAAATGGGCATGGTGCTGTCTCCAGGTCATATATGGACTTAGGAGCTGCTGCCCAGCAGGCCAGCTTGGAGAGAAAGGGGCCTAGTGTAGCTCTGATTCAGTTGGAAAGAGTGACTCAGCCATGCTGTTACTTTAGTTGCCTGATGTTTGGCTTGTCACTGGGGTAGCCTGAGCCCTGAGCCATGTACCCCAGTATAAACAATGGCTTTATAAGGTCTCCAGGGAAGGCACTGGGGACACAAGAGAGCTCCAGACTGGGGGAGGGAGGCAGGGATCCCTGGAAAGATAACAGTTGGAAGACACTTCAGAGAGAGACTGCCTCAGCACCATGGTACAACTGGGTAAACAAGCCGAGTGGAATATAGCTGACCCCAAGGGCTCATAGCCCATCATCAGTAGAGCCAGGTACCTGTCACTCATCCTACGTGTTTCCAAGGTCTCAAATGAGTTCAGGAATGACTATACTGTTATAAAGAGAGGGAAATGGAGTCCCAGAGCAGGGAAGCACCTTATCCGGCATCCAAAGATTAGAGGTAGGACTAAGATTTTTTTTTCTGCCTCCCAGACTTCTTTATAAAAGACCAGGTGAGGAACTGGACTGTAATCCCAACTACTCAGGAGGCTGAAACAGGAGGATCACAAGTTCAAGGCCTGCCTGGGATATAGATTGACTTCAAGGCCATCCAGGGCAACTTATTGAGACCCTAATTCAGAAAGTAAAGAGCTGGAGATGCAGTTCAGTGCTAGAGTTTGTCTCACATGCTCAAAGATTTGATCCCCTGTATCAAAGAATGTATCACAAAAAGATAAATTAGCCCAGGTGAACTGGGAGTAGACCACAGTCCTACCACAGCCCTGGGTTTGACTATAAAAGTACAAGCTGGGAGGTGGTCTTGGGTTCTTCATGTCTGGAGAACAGGAGCAATTACTGCTTATCTTCCCTGCCAAAGTGAGCTCACTGAGCAGACTGAAGGTCAGTGCAGGTGGAGCAAGGCAAGAGATCTTGGTCTGGGACAGAAGTCAAAATGAACATATACTCCAGCTTAAAGCTGCAGGGCTCTGCCAGATGCATAATAGCCATAGCATACTTACCCCAGAGTGGGTAAAGGGTTCCTATAGTAGGAAAAAGGTGGCTCCCGGTAGTTGCCAACACCCAGGGTTGAGGGCCTTTATCCCACATAATCCAGCCTGGCACTTGAGCTTTGAGACTTAAACAGCTCCTCTGCCCAGTGACTTGGTTTCCTTGACTATAAAGTGCAGCTTGCACTCAGAAGGAGAGTCAGAAGGGTGGTTGTACCACCAAGAACAGTGTAGATACAGCTGGTATGACTGGGGTCCTCATCTGCCTCTCTTGCTCCACCCAATGCAGATGATACAGGCTAAAGAAACACAGACACACACCCACTCATCACTTCCCTGGCCTCCATTTCCAGTATTGGGGGTTGTCCCCTGGGGGAAGAAAGGGTCACTGGGGAATCCTGGCCATGGAGAGAGACAAGCCAACAAGGAAAGCCCTCCTGGTGTAATAGCCAGGCTGAGGGCCCTCTACCGGCTGTAGTGTGTCAGTAAGTGAGCACGAGGTGGGCCCTCCAGAACAAAAGGTGGTGGGGTCAGGAGCCTAAACCTGTTTGACTGGAATGGGACCCGGCTCTTCACCCGTACCCCATGTTATCCTCCACTTGCTTAGGTTTTTTTTTTGTTTTTTTTTTGTTTGTTTTTTTTTTTTTGGTTTTTTGTTTGTTTTTTTTTTGTTTGTTTTTTTTTTTTTTGTTTGTGTGTGTGTGTGTGTGCACGCCCCTGGGCTTGAGCTGGTGGGGCTAGTGCAAAAAAGCCTTCAGGAAAGCATTTTCAAGCGAACAGTCTGGAGTTTATGAAAGACCAGCAGGCTGCGACAATGAAAAGACCCCAGGGTAGAGGGACACCAGCAAGAGGTGGACTGGCACTGACGACCACTCCCGTGCCCCTCCTCCTGCAGGATGCTGGTGGACTGTGTACCCCTGGTGGAGGTGGAGGACATGATGATCATGGGCAAGAAGCCCGACCCCAAGTGTGTCTTCACTTACGTGCAGTCGCTCTACAACCACCTGCGGCGCCACGAGCTGCGCCTACGCGGCAAGAATGTCTAGCCACCCTGCTCCTCAAGGCCCACGCTGCAGACCGCGGTCCCCACCCTCCCAGCACGGTCTCCTTCCAGTGCGCCTGCCCACTGCTGCCTGGTCTGTCGCAGCACCCTCCCCCTTGTACACGCTCAGCGTTTTTGATAAATTATTGGTTTTCAACGATCCTGACTCCGCTGTCTTCGGGAGGTCATCCGGTTATGAATTAACCCCCAAACGTCCTGCAGCCGGGCAGTAGGGTTGAGAGGTGTCCCAAGGGTGGTCAGGAACGCCCAATCCCACACCGCCTACGCGCAGCAAGTAAGGAGAAGAGCCTCAGTTGGGGCAGAAGGGGATTTAGTGGAGCTGGGGAGGGGAAGAAGGGGTGAGAGAAATCTCCCCAACCCCATTCCTGCTGGCTCGGGGACCGGGCGTCAGCCCTCAGCAAGGGAGGTACTCCCGGGATGTTGAGCGCTTCATTCTGTCCCCAGGGACCAGGCAGGACAGTCCCAGCTCTGCCTACAGGTCGGCGCGGTCCGGGGCCTCCCCGGGGGGCTTAGCGGGGGCCCACAGGTGCTCCTGGGGCACCTGTGCCTCGGGCGCGGTCTTGCGGTAGAAGCCGAGCTCCTGTAGCAGCGCGTTGATCTCCTCGCGGGTCATTTCGCTGAGTGGGATGCGCTAAGGCGAGGAAAAAGAGGTCAGCACAGCGGGCCCCACCCCCGGCTTCTCCGGTCCCTCCAGTGCCTTACCTCCAGTTCCTGGTAATTACGGCCCAGTAGCACGAGCTCGGGGTCTGCCCCAGGGAGGTGTTTCATCACCAGGTTGTGGCTGGAGAGAATGTTAAGGGGAAGGGGACACGCAGGGAGTGGTGGTGACTGCTGGGGCCCTCTAGCTGAGGGCTTATTTTAAGCCTAGGTGGGGACAGGATCCTCCTTTACAAGTGAGATTAGGGCTTGTCAAAGAAGGGCCCTTCTCTCCACTAGTAGCCTTTCATTGAAAATTTGTGCCTCCCTCAGACTTCTCTGAACAGTCAATAGCAATCGATTTGGTAGACGGGAAACCATTTGCTATCTCTGTCTGGGGAAAGTGGAAGATTCTCTAGGTGCCCTCCCCACTTCCCCTTCCCCAGAACAGGACAAGGATACTAGAGCGGAATGTCCTGGGTGACGAAAGCTTTCACCTGGGGAGGAACCACAGCATCAGAGAATGAGACCTCAGACCCTCTATAGTTGGGAAACTGAAGCCCAGTGAGGTTGAAGAGAAAGGGGATGAGGGGGCTGGAGAGACAGCTCAGTGGTTAAGAGCACTAACTGTTCTTACAGAGGACCCAGGTTCAATTTCCAACACCCACATGGCAGCTAGCAACTGTCTAAACTCCAGTTCCAGGGCATCTGATGCCATCTTCTGGCCTCCACAGGCATTTGCACGACACAGGTGCACTTAAATACATTCAGGCAAAACACTCATACATAAAAAAAATTTTTTTGGTCTTTTTGAGACAGGGTCTCCCTGTAGCCCTAGCTGTCCTGGAACTCACTATGTAGACCAGGCTGGCCTTGAACTCACAGAGCTGTGCCTGCCTCTGCCTCCCGAGTGCTGGGATTAAAGGCATGTGCCACCATGCCCAGCCATAATAAAATTTTTTAAAAGAGCAAGTTGGACCCAGGCTCCTGACCCCACCACACCCCACCCCCACCAGAGCCCCCAGTGCAGGGATTCTTCCCCTGCCCCCAGTCAGTGAAACCATGTTGCTTACTCCCTATGGAGGAGAGGGGGACAGAATCCACGAGCCTTTTGTTCAAACTCACCTCCTTTAGGCGATTCAACTGTCATCCTCCACAGGTCTAGAGGGAGATAAAAGGGATAAATCAAGGGTCCCACACATCTTAACCCAACATTACCACCAAGACCCTTCCATCCTTAACCCTGAGTTGGGTCAAACTGTAGTTATCCCTGTAAGAGCAGCTTTTAAGTTATGAAGGAGGTAGAGGTTCCTAGGGGTAATGGGAGCTCTGTACAGGTGAGGGAACTCAGGCCTAGACACCCCAGGAAAAAGGGGAGCAAGGCCAGACTCTCACCAGGATATTACAGCCCTGGGGCCCTTGCTTGCACACTACTGATAGTTGACAACCAATGCCCAGGAGACACATGAGTTAGTCTTGCTCCTTTCAGTCAGTAGAGACCTAGGCCTGGCCTTTGGCCCTTGAAACCTCATGAGGGAGGCAGACCAGAAGGAAACAACTCAGAACTGCCTTCAGGGTCCTATTAGAGGCACTTGCCATCTGGTCCCTACCACACCCCATGCAGGGCTGGCCCTGCCAGCCACCTATGGTTTAGCCCCACAAACCATCTGTTTGCTTCCCTGACTTGGGAGGATGGGAAGAGCCTTCCCTACACTCCCTGAAGGGAGGCCATCTCCCCACAGGAGTCCAGACCTCAGGACTACCTATTCCAGGCCTCCTTCATACTCCCCTCTGTCCATAAACTAAATCTCATAAAGAGATGGTAAGGGGCCAAGTCACTTGGAAGACCCGAGGGGAATTTCTTCAGGGGAAGAGTCCAGGGCTGTGGAGTATTGGGATCTCAGTTTCCAGCCCCCTTTTCTGTCTCCTGCATAGTGAGAGGAAGAGAAAGTCTTTTTCTCCCCCAGAAGAAGGAAGAGAGGCTTTAGAATCCCAGACATTAGGGTCCAGACGTGGAAGAAAATTCCAGGAAAAAATGGAGTTATAATGGGGAGGGGTTGGGTTCTGAGGAACCTCTTCAGGAAAATCATAGAAGTTAGAGGACTCTGTCACTGTCCAGAGATCCCACTGGACGACCAAATAGTGAGCAGAGCAAGGGTTCATTCAGTGTGCCACGCAGCAAGGTTGGGTGTCTCTGGCTCACACAGTGCATACTGAGCATCCTGCGGCTAGGGAGTGAAAGAGATGATCCCAGTACCATGGGAGGGAAGGAAAGAGGGGCTCGGGAGTTAAGGTGTTCCTAAGGCCGAAGTGGAGTGTATCCCAGGGATATGGGCGGCAGGGTTGTGGAACTGTGATGCTGGGACTGGGAACCGGCGCACTAACCTCCACCCGGCCGCGGGCCAGGCCTCGAAGACGGTTCCAGTCCGGCCGGTAGGTGGTGGCGGCCGCGGCTGGAGCCACAAGCGCCGCGAGAAGCAGTAGCAACGGCGGCGGCCACAGCAGGATGCTCATCTGTACCTGGCAGAAGACAATCCGCAGGCTGCACCCAAAACCACCGGGCCGCTGCGCCACGTCTGGCAAGGACAGGCTGGCCCCACCTCCGCCAGGCTCCGCCCATCTGCAAACCACGCCCACACCCTTCCCGGCTCGGGGTGTGAGCCTCCCACTGCCTCTCAGCTCTGGGACGGCTCCTCTGACGTTCTGAAGACCACGTCCCCAGTCTCGGTCATTTCCGTGCTGTATTTGCAGGATACCACCACACAGCGCCACTTACGCCACCAGAGGGTGCAGGCGGGACGCAGATGGATTTCTGGGTCAGAGCCTTGAATTTAAGATAGGAAAATAGAAGCCTGGGGAGACTCTATGCTTTTGATGTGATGTCTTTGAAGGAAATTCCGATCAAGGTTTCAGTTCCCCAAATCACATATTGTAGAGATAGGACTGTAACCTATCGCGGCTGGAGAGATGGCTCAGCGGGTAAAAGAGCTTGCTGTGCAACCTAAGACCTGATTTTGATCCGTGAAACCCACGTAAAAGTGAAAGGAAAGAACCAGCTCTCTAAAGTTGTCCTCTAACTTCTACTCCAACTATGGCATGCATGTGCTACAGTGGCACATACACATAATAATAATAATAATTGCTGGGCGTGGTGGTGCATGCCTTTAGTCCCAGCACTAGCACTAGGGAGGCAGAGGCAGTGAGTTCGAGGCTAGCCTGGTCTCCGCAGCGAGTTCCAGGCCCGCAGGGGAGACCCTGTCTCAAAAAGACTAATAATAATAATAATAATAATAATAATAATAATAAACATCCATCATTAAAAAGGAATGTTACCAGCTGGGCATGGAGGCACACACTTTTAATACCAGCACTCAGGAGGCAGGAGTAGGTGATCTCTGTGAGATGGAGGTCAGCCTGGTCTACATTGTGAGCTCTAAGCCAGCTGGGGCTACAGGGAGAGCCTGACTCAATAAACAAACAAACAAAAGATAAATACATGCATAAAATACATAAATGGAATATTACCTCTCCCACGGGGGTAGTAGAAAGGATAAAAGGGTTAACACATATAGAGCTCATTAAACAGTATCTTATTAATGAGAGAGAGAGAGAGAGAGAGAGAGAGAGAGAGACTCTCACCTGTATCCCACACTGACCTTGAACTGGAAGCAACCCTCCTGTGTCAATCTCTGAAATGCTGGGTTTACAGGCCTAAGACCCCCCCGACTCCGGCTCCAGCTGAATTGGCCTTCATTATCAGTTCTTTTATTACCTCAAGGCCCCTGTTCTGTGAACCCCTGTTCTGCAGATAAGGGAAGAGTTTCAGAAAGGTGAAAGAGATGAAGTTGTAGATCCGGAGTTGAGCCCCAAGCATCTCTGTGGCTCATCCATCAAACCAAAGACGTCTACATGAAGATACCACTTCAACTCCTCCTGCCTTTGGCAGATACAGCAAGTATAATCAGCTCTCTGTCACCCTGGATTCAACCAGCCTCAGGATGAAAATATCTAGAAGTGAAAACTGCATCTGTACTGAACACGTGCAGACTTTCTTCTTGTCATCTTCCAATCCCAAGTGACAACTATTTATAGTATTTTACATTGTCTTAGGTATTATAAATTACCTAGAGATGATGTAAAGTACATGGGAGGGTCGCACAGCTTTCATGGAAATATTAAGCCATTTTATATATGGGTTTGAGCATCCTCATATTTTGAGTTTGGGTATGGGGGGGTGGTATCCTGGAAACAATTTCCAGCAGGTACCAAGAGCTCACAGTATCCTTCCCCACTGAATCTAGAGAACCCCGTCCACACTCAGCCAAGGATGCCTTGTGACTTTCTGGATCCTAGGTATTTTTACCTTCCCGGTCTTATTTCTCCATTAAAATTTTTTTAATTTATTATTTTTTGTTTTATGTGTATAAGTGTTAGGCCTGCATGTAAGTAAGTGCACCCGTGTCGTGCAATGCCCATGGAGGGCAGAAGAGGCTGTTGGATCCCCTGGAATTGGAGTTATGGACAGTTGTTAGCTGCCATGTGGGTGCTGGGATTCGAACCTGGGTCTTCTGCAAAAACAGTCAGTGCTCTTAACCGCTGAGCTATCTCTCCAGCCCCTTATTTCTCCATTTTAAAAATGCATATTAAAAATAAGAGTTTGGCCAGGCATGGTGGTACATGCCTTTAATCCTAGCACTCAGGAGGGAGAGACAGGCAGATCTCTGTGAGATCAAGGCCAGCCTGGTCTACATAGCAAGTTTCAGGCCAGCTGGGGCTACAGGGAGACCCTGCCTCAAAAAAATAAACAAAAGAAAATATAAGAAAGATTCGATGGGGGAGGGAGAGACTAGAGAGATGACTCAGTGGTTAAGAGTACTGCCTGCTTTTCCAGAGGACCTGGGTTCAATTCCCAGCACCCAGATGGCAGCTAAACCTGTCCATAACTCCAGTTCCAGGGAATCTGATGTTTTCATCTGGCTTCCATGGGCACTGCATGCACATGGTGCACATATATACATACAGGCAAAACACTCATACAGATAAAAAATAAAATAAAATCTGTTTTAAAAAAAATAAGATTTGAGGGGCCAGCAAGACAGCTCAGTGGATATAGGCACTTGCTGCCAAGCCTGATGACTTCAGTTCAATTCCCAGAACCCACATGGTAGAAGGAGAGAACAGATTTCCACAAACTATCCTCTGACCCTCACACATGCCATGCACGTGTGTATGTATACACACAAAGACACACAACACACAAAAATAAGTGTTTAAAAAATTAGTAGGATTAGCCAGGTGTTGGTGGCACACACCTTTAATCCCAGCATTTAGGAGGCAGAGGCAGGCAGATCTCTGAGAGTTGGAGGCCAGCCTGGTCTCCATAACAAATTCAGGCCAGCTATGGCTACAGGGAGACCCTGTCTCAAAAAGACCAAAAACAACAACAACAACAAAAACAAAAACAAATTAGTAGAATTTTAGGGATGGGAGATAGGTCAGTATGTAAGAACACTTGCTGCATTACCATGGAGACCTGAGTTTGAGTTTCCACACCAACATTAAAAAAGTCGGGCATGCAACCCTATCCCTGAACGGGGAGAGAGGGACAACTCTCCAGAACACACTGGCCAGCCAGCCTAGCCCAAAAGCATTGCACCCCAGGTTCGGTGACAGAACTTGCCTCAAGGCAGTAAGGTGGAAAGGAGGAGAGCCGGGCATTTGGCATCCTTCTCTTGCCTCTGCATTCATGCATGCATGTTTACATACATGCATGTACACACACCCCATAGACACACAAAAGGATTTTAAAGTCAGGCGTGGTAATGCAAGCCTGGAATACTAGCACTTAAAAGACAGGGTAGAGGATCAGGAGTTCAGTTATCCTCAGTCTCATAGTGAGTTCAAGGCCAGCCTGAGCTACGTGAGACCCTGTCTCAAAAATATCACAGAGGGAGAAGAGAGAGAGAGAGAGAGAGAGAGGGAGAGAGAGAGAGAGAGAGAGAGAGAGACAGAGACAGAGACAGAGACAGAGAGACAGAGAGACAGAGATAAAGGATTTTAGCCAGGCGTAGTGTTGCACACCTGTAATCCCACCGCTCAGGAGGCAGAAGCAAGATAATTGCCTCAAGCTCAAGCATTGACTTCTGAGGAAGACCCTGTCTTTAAAAGAGCATCATCTGGGAGAACTGAGCTTCATCTAGGATGGGAGAACCTCTGAATTCCCAGGACCCCTGTGCCCTGGGTCTCCATGACCAACAGCACTGGGAGCAGGAGTGGCAGCTGGAGGAATATTTCAAGATGGAACCCTACCCTGACCATGAGAGGCTTGCAAGGCCCTGGCAGCCAGGTTGAACTTGAAGGAGGAGCAAGTTGAGATGTGGTTCTTCCAGTGCATGTGCCAGCAGGAGCAGAGGTCACCCCACCTGCACCACTCTGCGAGGCTCAACATGATACCATGTGGTTCCCAGGGGTGGCCCTACTGCTGCTATAGGCAAAGTTGGTATTCCAGGCTCATTCCCATCAACCCAGCCAAGAGCACAGCTGATAATTCTACCCAGAGAGCTGGGCCCAGTGGGGCCAGAGCCCCTGCCCACCCCAAGATGCACTGGGCTCCCAGAAACACTGGCTGCCTTCCACAGATTGTGTCTCTGCTTGCACATCCAGGTTCCCAGAACTCCCAATCAGCTAGAGGTGATTGCAATTTTTTTTTCTCCCAGAAGCCCAGGTTAGCCATCAATTCAATATGTAATAGAGAGTGACTTTGAACTCCTGATTCTCCTGCTTCTAACCTTCAAAGGGCTGTTTTCTGGTTTTGTTGTTGTTGTTTGATAATAAAATGAAATTATTGATAGACACCAAAAACAATTTTTAAAAAACGGATTTTACAATTGTTTTGGTTAAAAAAAAATGAATTGACTCCACGCCGGACTCATTATATTCTTATTATGTTTTTTTTTTTTTTTTGAGACAGAGTCTCCCTATAGCCCCAGCTGTCCTGAGACTTGCTACGCAGACCAGGCTGGCCTCAGTCTCATAGAGATCCACCTGCCTCTGTTTCCCAAGTGCTAGGATTAAAAGCATGCACCAATACTTATTTTGAGTTAGGCCCAACTTCTTTTGAGATAGGGTTTCATGTAACCCAGGATGGCCTGGAACCTGCTATGTAGCCAAGGATAACCTTGAGCTTCTTGTGCTTTTACTTCCACCTCCAGAGTGCTGGAATTGCAGGCGTATACAACCACACCCAGCTTTTTCAAAGCTGGGGAATGGATGAATTCTTGGTATGCTCTCTACCAACTGAGCTATATATCCCCAAGCCCCTCCTTCCAATTTTAATTTTTAAAAAATATTTTATTTGTTATTTTTATTTTATGTGTATGCATGTATTGCCTTCATGTAGGTAAGTGCACCCATGTCGTGCAATGCCCGAGGAGGACAGAAGAGGCCATTGGATCCCCTGGAAATGGAGTTACGGACAGTTGTTAGCTGCCAAATGGGTGCTGGGATTTGAACCCGGGTCTTCTGCAAAAACAGTGTTTTTAACTGCTGAGCCATCTCTCCAGCCCCCCCCCCAATTTTAATTTTCAAAAAATATTTTATATAGGGTTTGGAGAGAT